TAAAGTATGTTTGATGGAAAAGGCTTCCTTCTATATTACTAACATACATATTTAATGAATCAAACATATATCTTGTAAACCATATCTAAATTAAACTTTTTCTTACATTCTATCCGAATTAGTCTACATATTTTGTTTTCTCGAACAAAAATATCAGGTTCTGATTGTGACCATATACATCACAAATCACAAACTTCTTTAACTTCTTGAAAAGTTTATATATCTAGTCTGAAAGATATTTTTTCAATTTCTCTGCTGTTTTCTTTCTATATTCCAGGTCGTTTTGCACACCATTCGATAGAGAATTTAACGGTGATCACGATTATTACTATCCCGGCTTCCAAAACTCTTTCCTCGCGCAGAAAATCGCAAAATGCTGAGAGAAAGTCAAAAACGGGTAAAACAAAACCGGAAACCGAGGCACATCAACGCCTACATGCAGACTTTGCAAACATATCTAGTTTTTGGTGGAACCTTCATTCACACATGCTTAGATACGCCAGAGGATGAGCTTCAAAACAACGGCTTGCTTTTTTCGAAATTCTTTCTATTCAAAAGTTATTCAAGTTTTACTGAAAATTTTGTCAAAACGGTCCTTTTTTCGTTATGTCCTTTCGTTGGTGTCCTTTTTGCAAGTTTTGCTCGCAACGACGTTGTTTTGCCACTGACTAGGTTAAAAACGACGTACCATTCCATAGAGAATTTTATGGGCTTCAAAATGAGCGATGAATAAGTCTCTCAAAGATATGCCTAGATGGATCAATGGTCGAAATACTTGACCGATATAATGATTTTCGCCTATCCTGGTACTTTGAACACTTCTTCAGTCATTTTTCTACCATAATGAAAAATCATATTTTTTTCAAAAACATATCATTGGACAGCTCTTGAAATTCTGTACAAAGTGACCTGGTAAGAATATCCAGACAGGTGGGGTCAGTCAATAAAGATATGGAAAACAAGCGTTTGGGTGCCATGTATGCTGTACAGTGTGTCATACTTACAAGAACTCCTTTGTTTTTGATTTTTTGGTAAACGCTGGAACCAATCTGAATAGTGTTTTGAATAACTCGAAGATTTTTCTATCAAATGAGGCGCATATCTCCGTTTCATGGGAAAAGTTGATAATAGGGCTTCTGGAAAACCAAGTCCTTGACTTTTGGTCAGAAAATTCTGCAAACGACATAGCCTGATAGAGTATATAATTTTGAAGAAAATAAGACATCCTCCGGCTGTCTATAATGCTTTTTCACCGGAATGTTTTGGTAGTTTTGACGCCCTTTCTAGGCATTCGTAAATCGACTGTAGTAGCCTGAGAAAGCATTATAAAAGTACATGTTTAGATTCAGTTTTCGACGCTGAATTTGAATATCTTAATCACAAAACTCTACGACGTCTTGTGGCGAAACTGGAGAACTTTTTCTCAAAATACCTTTATCTTTTAAAAGTGATGTAACTACTCAAGAAGAAATAAAAATTCTATTTTTTGATGAAGTTAAGCAATGATATTGGTGGCTCTCTGTCTCGAAAACCAGAAGAGCCTTATTTCTGAAAAATAGTTGGACATGTTGTCCAACATTTTCTCTTTCAGATGGCTAAAAACCAGAGATGGACACTCCCTGATTAAGTTCTATTTAACTGGTTAAGTTCAGCGATTTTGCAATAACTCATTATAACCGATATTTTCCTTCTGAAGAAAAGTAAATCAATATTTGGACTAAAACAGAAAATGTAATCGTTTTCATTTCGTTCGCTGCAGAAAAGCATATAATTTAGCTTTAGATTAAATTGAATTATGCAAGTGGTAGTAGAAAACGAAAATTTCTTCTATTCTGTAACTGAAACAGATTTTTCTCTTTCTTTCTCCTGCAAAATATTATTTCTCTTAAAGAGGAAAAGAAAGGAGAGAGAATGATTGATATTGATCTCTATACATGATATAACTAACGCATTTCATTATTGTTGACGGCTTCCCTTACACTCATCTCTCGATATATTGCTCGATGAATCGGGATCCTAGATACATAACCAGATGCATCTAGAAATGAATCAGCTGTATCTAGATGTATCGGCCGATAACTCGATTCAACTTTTTCTCTTTTTTATGCATCTAGATGTATCGGGTTTTGTATCCAGTGTATCTAGCTGCATCGGGTGATACTCGGTACATTTTTCATGCTTGGGAAATACTACAGCTGACAAAAGTTTTTACATAGACCGACAGAAAACAGTCTCCTCTACTCCAGAAATTAATAATAAAATTTTCATGTTGAGAAATGACTTTCCCAATTGCAAAATAGTCAACCTCAAACTTTTCGTGATCTAGTTGCTGCCAACAGGTCTCATATATTTTTTCTGTCATAAGCATGAGCGAGAAAGAAAAACTTTTTCCTTCTCTCTGGAGGAGAAATATCCTATCCGTATAAGTGGTTAAGGAGAGAGTTATGACTGTTATGAAACTACAAACTGTTGTGTGTTTTAATAGACAAACTCTATACACACAGAGTAAGAAAAAGAAATTGAAACGCGTCTCTCTATTTAGTTTTGTTATTCGTGCTGCTACTATTTTGTTCAAGTAAAAAAGTTTTCTCTAAATTCAGAATTTTGCTCATAATCCTTAAGATCTGCTTTCAACGCAAAAAAACTACCTTCAGGCAAAAGGTTGCCACTAAAAATGTACAAATACACATATAGTAACGTGTTAAGCACGGCTCTTCTTCTTCTTGTCACTCCTAGATCACTCTAATGACTAGACAGCTAATTTAAAATAGTTTGTCTGAATAATAACGATCGCTCCGTCAATTTGTCTAACTTTAATAGTAAGGTTCTGTATAAAAGTCTTCTTTCAAAAAATATTTATATTTTCTGCACGAAAGCTTTTTAATCTAGCACATAAAATCTTTAGGGGCTCCCAAACCCATTTGAGCTTTCGTATAAGTTACGAAACCCTGCTGATTTCGAGTACTAACTGCAAAACTTTTGAAGGCTTTCGTATTAAGTGCGACACCCCTTAAACGCGTAAAAAAGCATTTTTTCAGGTCGTATAGAGACGTTGTATGAATGTTCTTTTTATTTTCTGGTTTATTTTCACCATAGTACCAATCGGCACTCCAAAAGCTTTCTCCCGTAGTAGCTACATATCTACATACTGTATGGTGAAAAGCCGTTTGGAATGCTCCTTGTACATCACTCAAAATTGCTCTCGAGGAAAAGTCCTCGAGTGCCACCTTGGATTTTCTTTGAAACATACTTCATTATAAGTTATTTTTGATGCTGATCACGAATCTGATATCCGTTCATTTCCATACGGTTTTTCAAAACCTCTGTTCAAATTCGATGTGTTCAGAAACCCATAGTGAACTTTCGTCTGAACATCTTCTGATAGTGCCAGATTGCAGAGCATATCAGGTTATCCTTGTGGACAAGTTTTGAGAAACAAAGAACAAGTGTTCATTGAATTATGGGTTTTGTATGGGAAAAACACTTCAATGATGCTTATTTTGGCTGGATAAAATACTAAAATTTTTATAACTAAGTAAAAACTTGTCTATAGGGATAAGTTGGTATGTTCTGCAATCTGGCACTATCCCCTAGAGAACGTACTTGGGAGCAAGTACTTCGGCTAAGTGCTTCGTCTGCGTCAGGTACTTGTCCTTTTTCCAGAAGTAAATTTACTTGTAAGTACTTGTCCTTACTTGTCAAGTACTTTCAGAAAGTACTTCTTAGCGATAAGGCAAGTATTTTGATCATTGACAAGTACTTAGTACTTGCATTAAGTACGTTCTCTAGGGTTACACTTTATTCCAACGAAAGTTTACTCTGGATTTCTGAAGACATCGAATTTGAACAGAGGTTCTGAAAAACCATATGGGGATGAACAGATATCAGATTCATGATTAGCATCAAAAATAACCCAGAATGAATCAGGGACGGAAAACAAGAGCTTTGTTTGCTTTCTAAAGCCAAAGTTTTTCTTTTCTTTCTATCTGAACATGCTCAAAATACAGAGTTGAGTGTTGTTTATACGTTCTGCTTGTCCAGAATGCTAAAATACCTCATTTCAAATCAAAAAATTCAAAAAATTCAAAATAAAAAAAAGTCGGTATTTTCGGTATCGGTATATACCGAAGTTCGATATTTTCGGTATTCGGTATACTGATACCGGTGCATACTCCTACTCTTAAACAAAAAAAAGGATGCCAAAGTTTAAGAAACATTTATTACAACATAAAGGTATCCTCACTGAATAATTCGAAAATTGAAATTCTTTACAATACAATTCATGCAGAGGAGAATTATCGCTTTAAAATGGAACTTCGTTGGATTCTTTCCGACTGCAAAGATTTTTTTTCATTCATTTTTCTTGTTTCCTTTAATTATTTTTAAGTTTTAAATAAAAAATCTCTCTTGATCTGATATTTTTCGTACACAAAGACTTAATATGTGTGAAAATGTCAGATATAAACAGTCTCGGTCAACTTTTTTCGTTTTCGATTATTAATTCTTTTTTCTAAACTTCCAGTAATAAATAATAATTGCCAGTTTTATTCATTCTAAACGTAGGATATGCAGCACATGTGTTTTGTTTTGTACGAAAAATACTGCTGCTGTCATCATAATCACATTAATAGTAGTTATTTTTTCTTTTCTTCTTTCTTTTCTTCGGCAGAGACGTTTTTTTGAATACAGTTCTACGAAATGAATGTGGACATATTTTAAAATATAAAGAAACCTTTATTATGTAAACTATACAATGGAGACTTGAACTATGTCTGTTATCAATAGTGATCGAAGTTGTTTATATACAAGGTAGGAAAAGTTATGTGTACATATTCCATAAAATTGTATATTCAACTATCAAACATGGACTTGTCACTCGTGTCTGTTAAAGAAAAAAGAAATATAAGAAAAGAAAAGAAAAAATATTCATTCTATGATCACATTAATATTATTCTTTCAAAAATAAAACACATTTGTTCCATAGACAATTCGTTAAATCGATGCCTGCTCTTTTTTATAGCAATAATAATGTCGTTACATCATCAAGTTATACCGAATTATCATCGACAAAAGAAGATTCAAAATTAGTAAAACATTTGTTATGGAAATTAGATATCCGATTAGTGCCATTTCTCGCATTACTCTACCTTTGTTCGTTTTTAGACAGAATAAATATTGGTATGTACTTTGTATATCGGATCGGTCAAATAACTTTGCTAGGAAACTTAATTTTCGTCTTAATTTTTTATTATGTACTCCGGTTAAGTAGTCTGTTACTATTTCCGGACATAAGGAAAAACAGATAGCGAGTTCGTATTGAAAAAAATCAATGGAATATAACAAAAAACAGGGTGTTCGGACTGAAATTTGTCAAGGAGTTTGTAACGAACTCTGACAATCGCTTTTTAAAGGTTGAACAGTGAAATTTTGACTAGAGATCAGAAGCAGAATGTTCGAAAGTTCGTAATGACAAAGACAGGGAGGTCGTAATGGAAACCACAGGATGTTCGGAATTATGTTCAGTTTGCTCACCTTTGGGAGAATGTGTAGCGACACGCTAGTCTTGCAACTTAAAATGGTGATTTTACGAACTCCCTGTCAATGTCATTTCACGCTTCCAGTTTTTTTCTGTAAAAGATACCCTTAGACTTACATTCCGAACACCTGACCTTGTTCATTACGATCTCCGGGTGCTACATCAGATATAGCAAGGAGCATTCTATTCCGAACATCCGATCAAACCATTCCGATTCTCAGTTTTTCCATTACGATCTTCCATAGAAAAATGTTCACGAACTACCGTCATAAATGTTTTAAGGACAAGAAATTCATTTCAAAACATCCGGATACATGTCCGGAGTTCAGAATGATTTAAGACGAAACTAAGACACCTACTCTGCTACCAATACAATGTCCTTCCGTAATATTTTTTCTGTATGTGGTTTCTTTCATAGTTTTTGAACGAAAGCAGATCTACAGCTCTGCAATATCTTAAAGTCAAGAGAAAAGTATATTAAACATTTTGAGATGTTTTCACATTGTACATGATCTTTCGTTTAAAAGCTGTAATAAAAATACAAACATCTACTTTAGTTTTATTTTTGAACGAAAGATCATGTACAATGTGAAAACATCTCAAAATGTTCAATACACTTTTCTCTTCACTTCAAGATGTTGTAAAGCTCTGAATATGCTTTCGTTCGAAAACTATGAAAGAAACCACAAGCAAGAAAAAACGTTACGAAAAGACATGGCGGTGTCTAGCAGAGTTACTTGGTCTAGTCGATATTCATTTTTTACGGGCTTCTAGTCTAATTAAAAACTTATATTTTTATTTTAATTTAGGTAATGCTAAACTAGCCGGTTTAGAAACCAGTCTCCATATGTCTGAATCTCAGTATAGTTGGGCCTTATCAATCTTATTCGTCGGATATGTAAGTGTAATACATATGAAAACACATTTTGTTTAGTGAAATTTATTTAGCATTTACTCATTTATCGTTGTTTAGATTCTATTTGAAGTTCCTTCAAATATGATATTGAAACGAGTTGGACCAAAAATATGGATACCAATTATCACTTTAACTTGGGGTTTAATAATGGTTTTAATGGCATTTGTTCGTTCACCAAATCAGTTACTTATTGCAAGGTTTTTTCTCGTATGTTTCTAACTATATTTCAATAGAATTGTAAATAGATTATGAATTGAAATATATTTAGGGTGTTGCAGAAGCGGGACTATTTCCAGGTGTTATTTTCTATTTAACATTATGGTATACTCGTCGAGAACAAACAATTCGAATGGCTTTTTTTTATTCGGCTGCTGTTTTATCCGGAGCATTTGGAGGTATTCTGGTATGTGTAGATATAATCGTCTCTATCTTATCTACTTTTACCTACATATATGCACTGTAATTGATCTTTTTCGTTAGCCAGTACGAATTTTATGTCCTGCGAAACTTGGAAGCTCTCCTGGTCTGCCAGTAGCCACCTCATCTTATTCTTACGATGGAACATTCCCAAGTGTCCCGCTTCGATTTCGCTCGTTCATACATCATTCGATAGGGGGTCTCGAGTAGATGAAAAGCTTAAAAGGATATCGGCTGACGACTCTTTAAGACCCGGTTTTCTGGGAAACCAGTTTTTCAGAAACTCTAACAGAATAACCAAAACCTTTGTTAATGAGACATGATTGTAGCCCGCGGAATTCTCATAAAAATGAGATACAGTCCAGCTCTATATGACCTATCTTTGCAAAGTTATAGAATTTGGAAGAAAAGCTCTAAATGTTCATTGTCAACTCAAAGCTGCAGAAATTAGAAGAAATTAATTTAGGGCTTTTCTTGTAAATTCTATAACTTTGCAAAGAAAGGTCATATAGAGCTGGGAGACATCTCATTTTTATGAGAATTTCGCGGGCTACAATCATGTCTCATTAACAAAGGTTTTGGTTATTCTGTTAGAGTTTCTGAAAAACTGGTTTCCCAGAAAACTGGGTCTTAAAGAGTCGTCAGCCGATATCCTTTTAGGCTTTTCATCTACTTGAGACCCCCTATCGAATGATGTATGAACGAGCGAAATCGGAGCGGGGCACCTGGGAATGTTCCCTCGTAAGAACAAGATGAGGTGGCTACTGGCAGACCAGGGGAGCTTCCAAGTATTGCAAGCAGTATTGAGACCCTGTAGAAATCGTGAAAAGCATCCCCGGTACAGTGGGCGTTTTTCTATAGAACGGGCGAACATGTGGTTTTTTAATTCAAAAAGTGACTATTTTTTATGTCGAAAAAGTTTTTATTCAGAAAATGAAAGAGTTATACGTTATTCGATGTAGTTTTATGCGCTGATTTCAAATATGAAATTATTTTTCAATAAAAGCGTTTCTGAGTTGAGAAAAATGTAGTTTATCTCAAAAGCCAAGGGTTGTTTAAAAAACTCTTATCTAAGTTCAAAATAAAAACTGCATGTACCATAGATGCAGCGTATGTCGAGGAATATTTCATCAAATTTTCATACATTTTGGAGACTGGGAAGGTGTGGGAAACTCATTCCACTTTAACAAGGTTTTCGCAAACACCGTTAATTCGGACAATAATTTTTTTTATTTAAAACTAAAAAGGCTAGATAAAAATTTGTTTTACTAGTAGATAGCTAGAAGCTTCTGAATTCTGAATACATACTTTTTATACTTTTGAATTGGCTTAATGCGATTAAAAAATGGTTTTTTCTCAAAGGGCCCTAAAATGCAGACTAGTTTTTACTTTACCATTTCTGTCCGAGAATTCGCAACTAGTAACAAAAAATTTTACGCCATTAAATATCCCGTATCAAAGTATATTTGGGCACTATTTGAATTTTGAAGAAGCGTACTTTGGATTTTTTGCCGATTGTCCTCACAGTTGCCCACTGTGTTCGGCAGGCTGTATTTTACTTGTGTGTTTTTATTGTATCTTTTTTATCTTTACCCTACACTGAAAGGTAACGGTAAATTCTTCTATTCTTCTCTCTGTTTTAACAGGCATATGGAATAATGCAAATGCATAATAAATTGGGTCTTCACGGTTGGCAATGGATATTTATTACTGAAGGTATACCAACCGTAATTCTTGCCATCATTTCATATTTTTATCTACCAAATTCTCCCTCAACTGCTACATGTATGTTATATATATCTATTTCAAAATTATTTTGTTATCATCTCTTCTATATAACTTAGGGCTTGATGAGGATGAACGTCAATTATTGATTGAACGTTTGAGAGTTGATGCTGGTGCTGCAAATGAAATACATTTTTCTTGGAAACAAGTTCAAGATGTATTCACAGATTATCATGTTTATTTATATGTTATAATGTTTATTGGACATGTTTGTCCCGTCTATTGTATTTCATTATTTTTACCAACAATAATTAATGGTATGGGTTACACCAAAATGGCTGCACAAGGTTTATCAGCCTGTCCCTATTTGATTGCATGTGTTTTTGTTATTCTATTTGCGCTAAGTTCAGCAAACACAATGGAACGTGGTTTACATACAAGTTTTACAGCTATGATTTCTATTATCGGGTTTACGTTATTGCTTGTATTAACAAAATATGGTCCACAAGCATTGTATATTGCTACGTTTATTGCATGTATAGGTGTATTCACAAATTTACCACCATTACTATCGTGGATTACAAACAATATTGGTGGACATACAAAACGTAACGTGGCTATTGCATTTATCGTATCTGTTGGAAATTTGGGTGGAGTAGTTGCAGGCCAGGTAAATGAGAAAAAATGATCATTTATAGTTAGACTACTATGTCTCTTTATGTATATAGATTTATCGTGCCGATGATGCCCCTTACTATTATCGTGGTCATTCAATTGCACTAGGTTTCAGTTGTTTGTTATTTGTATTTTCTTTATTAACAAAATGGTTATTGATAAGAGAAAATAAGAAACGAGATAATTTATCTCAAGAACAATATCAGACATATTGTTCTAAAACGGAATTAGCGGATTGGGTAAGAATAATATACAATCTAGAGACTTATTTGTAATATTTGTTTCTCTTTTTTAGCATCCCGATTTCAGATATGTACATTAAGTTCAACTAATATTATTATTCATAAATTTTTATAGCAATGTACAATTAATATTTAATAATAAATAGATACTTTATAAATAAGAATAATATTAAAAGAGTTTAAATATAATTGGTAGACTAAACATGTTCAGAATATTTAAAGTCTCCATGAATAAAAGGACAGTCTTCTGGTAGTTTTAAAACTAGTTGGAAACAAATTTTCCAGTTCATACGACGTAGCAAAACTGTTTCTGAAATATTTATGGATCTAATAAGTGAAATTTAGGCAAAGACTGCTATTTAAACATATATTTGACTAATTAATCGACAATATTTTGAACATAAAACTAATTATAAAGGTGACTGAAATTTTAGTCATTTTATTATATATTCTTCTTTATTTTACTTTCGAATTTTTGACCATTAACGGTCATTATCAAAAAACATTTAAGCAGTTTTTAAATGAACTTAATAATGACCGTTAATGGACAAAAATTCGAAAGTAAAATAAAGAAGAATATAAAATAAAATGATTATAGCTTTGGTCGCCTTCAGGATGTTCTAAACAAATCCACATTCACTTGTTAGAACTCAAAAACACGCTTATTACACGTTTTGCTAAAACAAATGTAGACGAAAAGAAAAAAACAGAAACTTATTACGGATTGTTACAGTATGCTAACGGATGCGGCATGAAGAATGTCACCATTTGTATTTTGCAATTATCTTGGTCGACTCTCATCGTAGAGAGTTGAGCTTAGTCTCAACAGATTTCCCGTTTGTAGAAATTTTCCATTCAAAGTTGAAATGAGAAAATTATTTGAACAGATAATACTGCGAAGCTCCAGTTTAGCCAATTTTCCCACCTAGAAAAGAGTTTTCTTATTTTCTATTCCTTGGCACTTGAGGGCATAAAGAAAAATAATCAGCTAGTTAGTAACGCTTAAGCTCTATATTTTATCTGTAAACAAAAAATTTCGCGCCAAAACTTGCTATGGAAAAGAACTTCTTTTAGATTTTGGTCCCAAATCGCGCTTTTGCATCAACTATTTTGGGCCATTCAAGAAAACTTGTACAAATCGACCAGAAAGTAAACTTTGAATCTGTTTTTCGTTTTATCTTGAAGACAAATGCATGATGAATCACTCGCAATCGTCAGAATTCGAATCACGTTTCGTATTACAACAAAAAAACAGAACAGTTCGCGAATTTTCGAAAATTTTGTTTGAAAAATATTTTTTGTCTGTTAAGCGTTAAGACATGACCTGAAAGCTGCTAATTCGCGTTTACTACAAGTGAACGGAACCAGAATAACACATATACGTGAATATTGCTTTAATTATATGGATAGTTTACAACGTTATCGTACCGTCTGACGAAAACACTAATTAAAGCCACACACACACACACCACTCAGAAAAGTCGATCTCCAGGAAAACAATCAATTTTGAGATAAGTCCATTGGAAGACAGCCTGAAGTGTCTACTTCCAGAATCTGTACTGCTCTCAATCCCAGAAGTGCCTTTTCGTGGCTTTTGAGCGAGTTTTCTAGGAGTCTCAGAAACAGGATTTTAACTAATAGTTTTTTTCTGGATACTTATACAACTGAACTTTAATCTGAATAAATAGACTTGTAGAGCACGCTGTTTTGATCAAAATATGATGACGCAAAACCCTGTACGACGTTGCCTCAAAAAGTTACAAGCATTTTGTCCGAAGTCCTAGACTGGATCAACCAGTGCAACGCGTTTTCTCTCAAATTTCTTTTTACGACTACAGCCTTAACCAGTTTTTTCGTGTCAGACGGTACGATAGCGTTGCAAACTATCCATATAATTAAAGCAATATTCACGCATATGTGTTATTCTGGTTCTGTTCACTTGTGTTGACTATTTACCACTATTTAGCAACAAAAGATTTCATGTTTTTCTACATGTCTAATAATGCAAAGCAGGACAAAAAAACTAGAATGAAGAAAGAAAAAAAATTTAAAAAGCTTTTGTCGTAGTAAACACGAATCCAGGACACGTCCAACAGCTTTCAGCTCATGTCTTAACGCTTAACAGACTTTTTCTCATTAAAAATTACAATTGGAAAAAATGTGAAAAGTTTCCGAAAAGTAAAAAGGATCTCTCTAACTTTTCGAAAACTTTTTAAATTTCTCCTATGCTAAACTTAAATTGAAAAATCCGACGACGTTATGACATATAAAAAACATATCTCTAGCTTTTGAGACCAACCCGAAACGTTTAGCCTAAAAAATGACGACGGAATCTTGGAAGTACCAAATCATACTTTTTCACCACTAATTTAAGACCTTAAACAAATTTTCAATTTCGATTTAATTTTTCAATTTCGTTGTTTACAAGGGAACCTCGTGTACTGTCACATCGTTTTCTCAGCCAAACCTAGTTGGTTATAGGTTATCAACTGTGCTGAATCGGAATATCATAGTGATAGCTGCCCACAGGCCTTCAGAGAACGTTTTTGTGAAAACCAGTTTTTCAGAAACTCTTAAAAGTAACCAAAACTTTTTCTTAATGAGGCATGATTGTAACCCGTGAATTTCTAATTAAAATGATACATCTCCTAGCTCTACGCGACCTTTCTTTGCAAAGTTATAGAATTTATAAGAAAAGCCCTAAATGTTCATTCTCAGCTCAAAGCAACAGAAATAACAAGAAATAAGTTTAAGGCTTTTCTTGAAAATTCTATAACTTTGCGAAGAAAGGTCGTGTATAGCTAGGAGATGTATCATTTTAATCAGAAATCAAGTTGAAAATTTTCAGTTCGGTGAATCCAGATTTGAGTCGGCAAGTACCAGTTAAAAACTGGTATTGAAGCTTCCACAAAAATTGTTATAAATTGCGGATAAATAATTACTCGGAATGCTGGAACCGCTCATTTTATACAGAAATACAATCTCACATAAGCACAATAATTTCGAAGTTATCTGTGATATAAATATGAGCATTCTAAAATGTACAAAATTCAGGAAAACAAACTGTTCGAACAGTTTGTTTTCTAATTTTAGTGCATTTTAGAATGCCCACATTTTTGTTAGAAATAACTTCGAATCTTTTTTCACAGCTGAATTTTCTGGAGCAACTTACGTAGAGAGTCGACTTATATATGCTTATATATCGACTTTTTATATTTCTTATATGCATTTATTTTCTTATTAAATTATGCAACTAAATTTTATCTTATACTTTCATTGTTACTATTTTATCAGGAATGTGGTTATTCACTTACTGAAGAATGATAACATTGAACGCATAAACTCTTTCATTTATAGTAGATTAATTATTCAATACAGCATTCCAAAGAACCAAAGTTGAATTATGACTCAGAACATTCCAATTAGCACATGAATGATTGATCATAGTTAAGTCTTTCTCAGTCTCAACGTACGATATTTTCGTATTTAACTCAACACAAAGCATTATATGATCACATCTAGTTATTTGGCTGTGGAAGAATAAATATTCTTTAATAATCACGTATAACTAGATCAAGACACGTTTTCGATGATGGCTGTGTAATTTCATCAACTAGTTGATGGAAGTTATTGCGAGTTTACTATTCTGTTCTCCCTATTATTTTAATAAAAATCCTGCCTGTTTTTATCCTTGAGCTGTAAAAGTCCCATAATACTAGTTTTAAAGATAAAGATTTTTTCCAAATAAAAATTTTTCTTACAGAAAAGAGAAAGAGAGAAATGAAAATCTAAAATATCCTAAAATTTAATTTTAGATACATCTGTTGTGTCTTTCTCGGATAAAAACTTTAGTATCCACTCTATTGATTACAATAAATACAGAAAAGGGAAAAAAGAGCAGCATTTTGAAAAAAAGAATTTTTCATTTATTTTGTCATAGAATAATGAAAAAGTTTTAAATGCTTTTAGTCTTAAAAAATATTCCTTCGGAAGTGCCCTTTCATTTGGTATTGGATACGTTAATTTCCAAATACTTAGTATTTGGATATGCGTGCATGTCTAATCGAATCGGACGTTTAGGCAACAAGTGAAAGTACTCACAATGTAATTTTTTATATTGATTTATATACTTTGAAGTTTTAGCTATCTTTCCTCCTTACTGCTATGTTTTATCCGGAGCCAGATTCTTGAGAAATCTATGATTGGGGAAGGAGTAGAATTACAACAAAAATCGTATATACGAAGTAAAAAATGGCGATCTCCTTCACAACATCTTGCTAGCATTTGGGAATTTTTTAACTTGATATTTGGTAGTAGGGTTCATAAATGTTTCATTTGAAAGGAGTTTCGACGTTCGCGTCAAACATTACTTGAAAATTTGATATGCTTCTAATAGAATTATCTATTTTCTTTTTCATCTATATAAATACAGATTAAACTAATCACTCATTTATCCCATATGAAGATATATTTGTTGCTGTGTTTGAAAATACTGACCATGACTCGGTAAGTGGTTCAAACAAGAACGAAAAAGCGAAAATCTAAATCCTACTTGCGTTTCTAGGAGTGTTCGTGCGCCTGTAACCAGTGTCGATAACCACCATAAATACTATGTAAGTATTTCATTTTACATGTGGTATGTTCCGGAAAAGTTTTCTAATTCCAATTTCTATAGTTCATACTGTCAGTCTCGATTATTCACAGCACTCGTCCCGTATTTTAACAATATTGGTATAACGAGTGATAGTAATCCTGCGATCGGTAATTTTAATACATATGGAAACACTTATTCAGCTGAAAAACTTGCTACACAAAATATCACGCCTGGAGCAATTATAAGTCTTGACGGAATTTACTTTATGTGGCCGAATATTTCGTCAGGAGAGAATGAAAATATTGCAACAAATGGTGAAATAATTAATCTTACTGATGCATTCGGATCAAAACTGGGTGTGTTTGGTGCTGGTACTCTAGCAGATCAAAATGGATATGCTATCATTACCTATACAGATAATACCACACAAAGATCTTTACTTTCTCTCTATCACTGGATAGGTAATAGTGCAGCGTCTGCTAACGAAATATTGGTGACGATATCAAACTGGAATTTTTGTACCAACTGTACTCAACGAAATACTCAGCACGTCAATGTCTACTATACATCCATTGCAATAAATGCAACGAAGACAATTAAATCGCTCACGTTGCCATCTAATTCAAACCTTCACATATTTGCAATTGGAACCGATTGTCATTGTAAGTATAGATCGTTTGTCTCAATAGCTGTCTGTGCATCTCAAACTGTATGAATTCAAGAATTACTCTTATAGCAAAGAGAGAATTGTCTGTAATAAAATAAGCTACTATTTGCAAGTTTTATTGATTAAAAATCTTTCCTTTTGAACTAGATCAGACGTCTGACACAAATATTTTTACTCAACATTCATCAGCGTCAACAGCATTAATGCCTCGGCAAACAGCATCAGGTAGTCATCTACAATAACTCAGATTCTTCTTAATATTCTATCATCAAATTATCTACACTTTATACATATATATGCTGGAGTTGAGACTGTAATCTAAGCGAATTCCGAATTAGACTAGATTCGATTAGAATTCTAACAACGCCAAGTGGCGATAGGAATGGTTCATGTTTAACTACTCCCTCCTTAAAATCGTAATGACAAGAACAGAACTGCTTTTGCGTGGCTCTAAGAAGACTGTGGATGGCAGCCCCGAGAGTTAGGAGAGTGACATCATAGTTAAAGCACACTTAAAGTCGCTCCTTATTGAACATTAATCCTGAATGAATAGGTTTTGTTTAAAAGATAAATGATGCCGACAGCAAAAAATAAGTTAAAAGCAACTGACTAGCAAAGAGGCAATCACACATATTTATGGAGCGACGAAAGATCGAGATGATGAAATAAAAAGATGAACAAATAAAGACAGAGGAAATATTAAAAAAATGGAAATGAGGACATTCTCAATCCGACATCCTGGCGGACATTTGGTAAAAAATCGAAAGTGCGCTTTCTTGAAATTCAAATAGTGTCAAACATACTTTGGACTACGGGCTATCTAATGGTATAAAAATTTTTGCTCCAAGTGCTGAATTTTCCGGAAAGAATATATACAAAAAAGAGCCTGTATAGTAGTGACCTCCGGTAAAAAATATTTTTTTATTGGACTAAGTCGATTTAAATTTGAAAACACTACATATTCTGAATCTAGACTAGGCATGCACCGGTTTTTGACTGATGTTAGGGCTTCCACGAAAATTACTATAAATCGCAGAGTCACGGAACGTCTCATTTTGTAAAGAAATGTTTGGACTAAAATCACGTTGAAGCAGAAAAATTTTGAAATTATCGGTGATACAAATATGGACATTCTAAAATGCACTAAAGTTAGAAAACAAGCTGTTCGAGCGGTTTTTTTTCTAACTTTAGTGCATTTTAGAATGCCCATATTTTTGTTAGAAATAACTTCAAATTTTTTTCACAGCTGAATTTTCTAGAACTAACTGTACAAAATTTCTTCTCTACAAAATGAGGCCTTCCGTGACTCTGAATAACTCTTTATAGACGATTTAACAGAAAAAAATTACTTTCCGAACTGATACCGTTTCTGAAAAGATGTTTAGTACCTAATGAGGTTCCTATGATTTCCTAATCTTGAAACAGACTCAAAATTATACCAAAATGTTTTTGAAGTCATTGCCTCCATCTATAACGAATGCGCAAAAATGCGCATATTTTCTTAAGTTGAGTTATAAGTTTTTGGAGTCAGATGCATTTTTCTGGACACATCTCCTTGCTCTTCCTTCTGCGAAAGCCTAGGCAGTGTTAGAATTGGGTTACATGAATTTCGGCCCACGAATGTTTTGTCCCGGACTTTCGAACCAAACCATGGTTTACCCACTTAATTTTATAAATAATTAGTAAACTTCATGGTGCTCAGTACGATGCACTTTTAATAAAACGTGGTACTCGGCAGTATGACATGGTGCTCAGCAAGATGACATAGTGCTTAGCAGTACGACTTGGTGCTTGGCAGTACGACATAGTGCTTAGCTAGACAGCCTAGTACCCAGCACTATGCATAGTAATGAAATAAACTAGTTAACTTAAAAAACAAAAAATTTGTGGGCCGAAATTCAGACCTCCCTTAGAATTGTAATCTCATCTAAGCTAATTCGGAATTCGCCTAGATTCAAGTCTCAACTCCGACGTATATATACACAGTATCTTTCTTTTTTAAGATCAAAAACCAGTACAATCAACGTTTATCACTTGGATTACAGCAGCATTAACATCACGGACATCCACGGAGCTCTCAAGTTTGCAGACAACTGCTGAAGAAGCCATAAGTAATTCCCATTCGTCACGTAATACATAAATTCCGCTTTTCTTTCTTTTACAGCCAAAGGTTCTCTGAGATCAACATTAAGCTCACCGGTCACGACTTTATGCACATTGTTAAGGGAATCGTCATCAACACAAATAAGTAAATGTTGCCTGTGCATCGCCTTGTTTACGCATGCCATATTATAAACATATTGTTTAGCGTATTCGCTGAACACTGCTTCTCAAACGACGAGCAGTTTGACAACACAAATTTCATATATCGCTTCATCGTTAGGTAGGATTCATGGTTTAGATAGAACAAAGAGTGTTATGTAAAAGTGATAAAGTGAACTGATAACATTTTTACCGTAGAGGCATCAAAACCAATGACTTTCAACACATCTTCCTATAACCAACAAGGGTTTGTGCCTACTGACTCTTTGTTAATGGATGCCTGTATTGTACTGAGTCCCTGTTTCAATGGTGGCACATGCCGGCTAGACAACAAAACCATCTATAACTGTGAGTGCCCTGTATTCTACAGTGGCACAGGTTGTGAGCAAGATGTACATCCGTGTCAGAAAGATACCTGTTGGAACAACGGTACATGTCAAACGACGGGTAATTCGTCGTTCAAATGTGATTGCAGCGACGGCTGGAGCGGAAAGCATTGTGAAGATATGAAAAACTATTGTAAGAATGTCGACTTTTTACCTTTTACATTTATTTCACTCTGCTATTTTATTTTCAGGTGAGAATATAACATGTGAAAACAACGCCGTGTGTTGGCAGAGTTTGTTAAATTGGACTTGTATATGTTTAACGACGGACTTTTCCGGACGGTACTGCGAATTTCCAACAACAAAACTGGTAGTTCAACGGTGCACGTCCAGATCACTTGGATGGATTGGCGTATTGTTTATTTGTTTTATAATAGGGCTCTGTGTGTTTGCAGACATACTGAACTATTTTTTTCGCCACGATCCAGCCGGAAACGCAAGAAAAATTGAATTGGAAAGGAAGAAAAAAGTTAAACGCGAAGAGATAAAAAGGAAACGTCAAGAAGTCAGCGAAAGGCTCGCTTTACGTTTCAAGTATATGACACTGACAGCAACACCATGTCAGCAGTAGAAATGAATACAGAATCGAACGATCGCGTCGGTTCCTGACGAAGAGCAACTATGGAACAGCTGAAATTCACTTAGGTCTGAAAGAAGGTGACAGTTCTCCTACTTCGCATTAAAATTAATACGGCAAGTGTAGCATCACGGATGTTTTAAGTACTTTTTTCGCCATATGCAAACGAGGATGCAACTTGTATTTGGTATAGAAGCATAGCCCTTGATTTACTCTACAATATTCTATATAAAGAACATTTAACTGTTATTGGTCGAGTCACTCCTACCTTCTACAAGAGGCAAATTGCACCTAAAAAGCTGGTATCAGATGTTTTAAGTACTTTTCTCGTCATATGCAAACCAGGATGTAACTTGTATTTGGTATAGAAACATAGCCCTTGATCTGCTCTACAAAATTTTATATAAAGAACCTTTAACCATCATTGACCGAGTCACTTATAGTTTCTACAAGAGACAAATTGTACTTAAAAAGACGATATCAGCGATGTTTTAAGCAGTTTTTTTCTCCATATAAAAACAATGATCCGACTTGTATTTGATATAGCAAAATACCCACTGAAAAACTGAATAAAATGGTATATAAACCATAGTTACATACCATATTACTAAGGAGAAATGGTTTATTTTCAAACATTCCCTATCTAGCGACTATGCTTGAGTAATCAACTTTTCCCATTTTCTCCCATAAGCAAGAGAGGATGCAACTAGTCTTTAGCATAGAAAAATAGCTCTTGGAAAGCTGTACAATATTTTGAGTAAACAAACTCTACATACTATTGGCTCAGTCCATTATAATTTAAATACGAGAAAAATCAAGGAAGTGGCTCTTTGATTTTTGAGCAAAAGTCTCGGCGAAAAAATTGGAAAAAAATCAAAGTTGTATAAAAATTCCGAGAGAAAGATTGTTCAATGCAGTTTTTAACGGTGATTCCAAATATGATGTTGGTTTTGAGAAGAAACCGAAATTTGATAGTGAAAACTGCAAAATATGAGTGCACTTCCTTGATTTTTCTCGTATTTAAATTATAATGGACTGAGCCAATAGTATGTAGAGTTTGTTTACTCAAAAT